ATATTATACCGTACAGTATTGACTGTAGACGTATCATATTCAAAATATATTTATACTTTATGCCGACATTTTGGTTATAATTTTAATAGGTATATAAGTATTAAGTATAATATAATGGTCTCTTAAACGGTATTGTAACGAAAACTGTTAACAACTATATTAAAGTTCAAATGTCAACAACATTTCTCAAATAAAAAAATTACACATCATTTTGCAGTTAAAATTTTAAAAAAATATTAAATTTGTGCCTATAGCTTAGGATTAGCTCAACATGTAACCAAAAAATCTAAAAAGATATTAGGTACACAGTTTTTGTGTAGTTATTTAAAGTTCAAGTTTGGCCGATATTAGATTTTTAAACAAAGAAGAACGATTTTAGTTTTGAGTTATAATTTAAAAATATTATTCATGGATTACTTGAATTTCTAATAAGTATAATATTAATTCAACTTACTGGCTGCCATATTAATAATATCAACATAAATATTATATAAAATATCCTAGGTTGACAAACCGTTGCCGCTAAGAATCTTTTATTGTTTACAATATTATATAATATTATTAAATTAAAATTTAACACCATGCATTACTGCCACGCACTTGTAAACTACTGTACAGCAGAGCGGCACCCACTTGTCTGCTTTTTTCAAATTGGGTTTTTACTATAAAATACAATTTTTTATGTACCTACATTGTTCATGATTTCTACAACAATTATATATATATAGTATCACCCGTATCACATAATATATATTTGTTATAAGAACTCCAACAGAATGCCTGTTGCAGGATTATGCAACTGCTGTGGAGTGTTAGCCTATTGTGTTTACCTTCAACCTTGTTGCAGTACAGTGGACCTTTAAATACCTAGGTACATAAAAAGTTGTATATAATAAATATTTATGTTGATATTATTAATATGGCAGCCATTAAGTTGAATTAATATTATACTTATTAGAAGTTCAAGTAATCCATGAAGAATATTTTGAAATTATAACTTAAAACTAAAATCGTTCTTCTTTGTTTAAATATCTAATATCGGCCAAACTTGAACTTTAAATAACTATGAAAAACTGTGTAATATCTTTTTAGATTTTTTGGTTACAGTTTGAGCTAATCCTAAGCTATAGGTACAAATTTAAATTTTTTTTAAATTTTTAACTGCAAAATGATTTGTAATTTTTTTATTTGAGAAATGTTGTTGACATTTGAACTTTAATATAGTTGTTAACAGTTTTCGTTACAATATTGTTTATTTACATTAAATTGTATACAAATTACGTTTAAGAGACCATTATATTATACTTAATACTTATATACCTATTAAAATTATAACCAAAATTTCGGCATAAAGTATAAATTTATTTTGAATATAATACTTCTACAGTCAATACTGTACGGTATAATATGATTAATATGGTGGTGTTATTGTCTAGCTAAACTAATATATTCATATAGTAAACATTATATAAAGGAATAGGTTTGATGGAAAAGAGTTATATTTTTTACATAGATATTAGGTATAGGTAGGTTCATAAAATAAATAATATTGATAAATGTTGTGATGATAAATGGTGCATACAATTAATATAATATATATACTCGTAAATAAATAGGTTTATATAACAATCTAAATATGTGATTGGTTTGCTGTTTAATTGGACGGTATTTTTAATTTTTACATATTATGTACCTAATTAATTAAATATATAACATAATAATTATATATGTTATACCTATAACAATAAGTTATTGAGAAAATCACTAGGTACCTAATAAATAATAAGGTAGGTACCTAAACGTTATGAGTATATCTACTCTACTATAAATTATAATATGCAGTAGAATCATTTGCGCTGTAGTCGTATGATTTGTGAATATTGATTATGAATCTGACCCTTGCATCTTAAAACAAATTGAACCTACACGATAATATTTTACTGCGACCACTAGACGTCTGAACATAATATAGATCCGCCCAATCACTATTCGACTTACTATAGTCTATAATCAACGAAATTAATTATTTAATAAGATAAAAGGCTACAGTATAATAAATTAATACATTATACATTTCGCAAAGCATAGAATATAGATATTTTATCATTACTTATTTACGACTCACCCCCTTTCGTTTTTAAAACTCGACTTAGGTACACGACACATAATTAGTAATTGTCAAATATGATTAAAAATAGAATAAAATTGCTATAATAAACAAATTGTGAATATATTTTCAAAATTCGAAATTTGGTCTGGCGGCGAAATGTCCGGGTCCGAATATCCTATGTACGTATTTACTTTAAAACCAGTGTCAATATTTTCTGTTGAATTGTGATCACTATTTAAAAAAAAAATTTTTTGTCGTTTTTCAGTAATTCTGAAATTCATGATACCACATTTATTAATAGCATTTTTTTTTATGACTTTTTAACCTTTATCCGTATCAGTATCAGCAGTATAGCTAATTAATTACTGATATAGCTAAACTATAACATTTACATCATTATTTGCACTTTGAAGTTTTATTTTTAACTACCTATATTAAACCTATGTAATATTCTCCCAAAAAAAATTATGAGTAAGATGTTTCTAATGATTTCAGTATTTTGAGTATTTTATGTACCATTTGCTTCACATAGAAAAGTTGGTCTTACTTTTTCATCTCTTCAATTTTAATTACAGCATGTCAATAGACAACCGTTTAAATTTTTATTTTTATAGTCATCATATCAGACAAAATAGATAAGATATTAGTTCTGTGTAATGGTAAACCTTTGCAATTTGTCTAAAATTATCCTTAAAATTTGGCACTAGGAGAATCCCTCTCCCAAGTAGCCTCCCCTTCTATATAATATTATGAAGGTACCTATACTTGTTTCTATTTGTAGTTTGTAACGGGCAACAGCAGCCGCTGTTAAAACGTCCAATATATTATATGACAAAAAAAAAGTAAAATTACCAAACTATAGATATCTTTGCTAGCTTCCCAACCCTTTTAATATGGTACCGGACCACTGTACTAAAAAATGATGGCATACCGGGCAGTCCATTGCTGATTGTAGTAAAAGTGATATATAAGTGTGTTTTTCAATTTAATGTTTTAGATTCTGAGTGGCATTTTTAGTTTTGTTATTGTTAATAAAATATAAAATGATAAGTTAATTTTTAGTTACTGTATTGTAGAGTAAGAATCACAATAATAAAGATAATTGTTATATCTATAACCATGGAAAAAATAGAAAAATTTGTTGTGTTTGGAAAAAATAGTAACCTTGTCTAAGTCTGAACAGGAACTTAACACTTATTATCGTTGAGAGATTCAGCAATGGGAAAGTTTGCAATAGTCAAGTATTTAGGATAAATACTTCAAATATAAAAATTTTTCTTTACCTCTTTATTATCATTTTTAAATAAAATGAAGAAGTTTATTATTATTTTTAATGAATATTATTTTTAGTTTGTTAATATTTGAGTGAAAACATTTCGTTAATTATTCATGTTGATAATGATAATTTGTTGACTTTTTTGGGTATCAAATATTTAGTAAAATCTATATCTTTACATAGTTATAACTTATATTCATAAATTTCAAATATATAATTTCTTATGTAAATTGTGATTAAAATTACCCTGTACCGCTTACCTCTTGGTGACAGCTTTAATTCCAGTCTTGTAAAGTACTTGTGTAAAAGTAGTCAAATATGAATTTTAAATACATATGAAATAAATACCACCTACCCTGTAATTGTCAATATATTCAAAAAGTAAATTATATTAAATATTTAGGGTTAATAGTTGATGAAAAATTAAAATGGTATTATCATATAAATCGATTGGTTAATAGAATGAGGAAATTATTTTATAACTTTAAAAATATGTTTTAAGTATTAAACAACTGAGAATTGTATGTATGTTGTTATATTATCTTTAGTCTACTATGGATTGCATTTCTAAGATGGTATTTACAAAAATTATGTGACTCCTTTAAATACTACTATTAATGGTTTAATAAAAGTCATTATCAAAGCCGTTCAACAAATTAACTATACATATACTTGACTTTGTAGTCCCACGCATCTTTATTTTATATTATAAATCTTTGATTTTACTTGTATATAAATACAGACATTTTTTGAATACTATTGAGCATAATTATAATACTAGAAATAAATTTCATTCTAACCTTAATTCAATTACATTTTTTAAGACTGTAACCTCTCAGAGTCCTTTTTACAAATGTACTTAGTAGTTTCGTAAATTAAATTTAAATCTTTTTAATTTTAATAATATTAACTCTTTAAAATTATATACTAAACATAATCAGTTTGATCATGTTACACTTAGTTATGATTTATAAATGTTTTCCTTTACTTTTTTTTTGTTATTTAATTAATATTTATATGTTGGTAATGAAATTTAAAAATCGAATTTTGACAAAATTTAACAAATTTCAAATTGAATAATTATTTTGTAGTTAAAAATGTATAAAATGTTCAACTTTTTTAAATTGGTAAGTAATCTTGAAATTATTTTCACGAAACTAAGAAAAACATATTCAAAGTTTATAGTGCATGTTTTTCATATATTGTGATTTTGTAATTTTAATCACATATTTCTTAATTTAAAAATTGTTTACAGCATATAAATGAATGATCAATGATAAATTGATTATACAATTTGAAAAAGTTGCAATTAAAAAATTGAATGTATTTATTTTGAGAGTTTTCATTAGGTATTATTGTATCATGATTGTCAAACCCCAAGTTTTTTTAAATATTTATTTATGCTATATGACATAATAGGTACTACAAGACAAATAAAATTCAAAATTATGTTATTTGATTAAAGTTTTTATTGTAATAATTATTTATTTATTTTATTATTAGAATAATTGGAGAAAATGGAGAAAAATTCCATTTACAAAGAAAAAAATTGTGAATCATCAGAAATAAAATGTTTTAGGTACTAAAACCTATCAGTTGTTTAGGTACTAAAACCTACCCAAATGACGGCACCCACACAGTAGACATATCCAGGTTTTGAATTGTGGAAGTAGGATTTATCACTGAACGTCTGTCTCTTGATTGGTGTTCCTGGTTTTCTGGGTATCTTGTCAACCGTAGAAAGTTAGATCCTTTGGGCATCATCGGAGGTTTTTCATAGAAAACCTTGGCCAAACCAACGCAAGAGTTGTTACCGCTCAATGCTAGGCGGAAAATGTTGCTGTTGATTTCGTTCTTCTCGAACAACTTCGATATGCGAAAAAAAATAGAAAGAGAAAATAATTAATCAACCAAATCATAATATTATGTACCTAATGAAATCAAATTAGAGGGAAGCACGTATCCGGATTCAAATGGACTAAGTCTGGTGTCAGCTCAAAATTACATACAATTATCGTTTATACATTTTAAATACACATATAATAATTAGACATTTTTAAATAATTATGTTGTAATACAAATTATTGTATTAAGCCTTTACTAAAACTATGTAAAAAAAAAAATTAAAATAATGTAAAATGCAGTTCCTAGGTATGATAAAAATTAAACGTATTATGGTTATGCATACCTATATATTATAAAAAGAGTTGTATGTTATACAATTCAAAGACAGGTAGGTGAAAAAAATGGAATAAATTATTAATAATATCATTCATTATTTGTAGGTATAAGTAGGTACAATATATTAAATATACCTATGTTATATTCCGAAAAAAATAAGCCGGTGAGTACCTAGGTATATTGTTAATTAACCTAGTAATATATATCAAATTCTCAATAAATCTAGATGAAGTAATAGGTAACAGAGTACCAAATAAGAGTTGTCTTAGGTGGTGACTGATTTTTGTCTGGTTCGGTCAGATCACTGTAGCAATTGTGCTTTTAAAATCTGCGGATTTGATTATGCGGAATTGAAAAAAGGCGAATGATTGGTCTTAAGTTAATTTGTATAACGAATTCAAATAATATGTTTTCAGATACACCAGTTGCCTAACCCAATTTCAGTCATAATTACTATATACTTACGGCACATCTGATTCTACCCCCACCCATCTTGTTGACGTCTTCGCCGTATAGACGCACGAACTTAGCTCCATCATCGATATTTTCTTCAATTGTCAAGGGATATTCGTCACAAGCAAAATTGAATTCTTCCATACCTGAATAGTCGTCCGAAGACGACAGAACAAATAATATGCAAGCTCGATAAATGTGGTATGGTAAGGTATTTTTAAATTATATTTAGGTATATATTAAACTTCATGAGAATGAGTGTTGCCCGTATTTAATATTCCTAATCAAACAATTTATTATCTAAAATGTATAGATTATAAATTAATTTGAACAGTGTAATACCTCAATGTTGTCGATTAGTTAGTAGGAGGGTTGTGAAAGGGGGCATTTGAGATAGGCATAAATGGTTGGATGCACTAAAATTGTTATGCTTATTTATATTAGGTGTTATAACATTTAAAACATTTTTTTATATTTCCAACAAAATTATTTGAGAAAAAAACTCCTAAAAAAATATAAGTACACGTATATATATATTTTCAAATTTTATTTTTTGTAATTTTTTCAAATTTATATTGTACATTATTCCAGTTTTTAACGAAAATTACTATAATTAAATAAATACATACGTGTGATCGTTATTTTTTATATTTTTTTTTTTTTGTAAAAAATTATAAAGGAAAGTATAAAAGAGTAATAAAAAGTAGCACCGTCAATTGCTATAGTAAAATCGTTTTGGAAATACTGACATACATGTTATATTAATATAAGAACTTACTATTTTTTACGAAAAATATAGTAGTTACCTATATTTGGTTAAATTTCACTATCTGGGCGGACATATCAATTTAAAATGAAACAGGTGGGTAGTTAACAATGTATTTAATATGCATGCGTTCCATGTAGTATAATAGGTACCTGCCTACATAATATTATTACAGATACTGTTAACAAACTTTAATAGCTTTCACAGTTGGTAGCAGCATAAAATCCTGTATTGTTCGAAAATAATAATTGTTTACACGTACCCTCTTGACCGCATTGTTGCTTGCCATTCTGAGAATTGCCAAGCCACAAGGTAAATGCTCTTCTTTGGTCAATTTGTTTGATGTCCATGAGGAGACAACCACCACTCTGCGGCGAAGCCGAATTCATGCTGCTCGCTGAATAATTTGCAGTTCCCATCAACATACACGCATCTCTGATGTTTTCCAACGATGGAATGGTTGCAACACCTAGTATATCGAAGAAATTCGTAATTATTAGTATAGGTTTGGTGTTTAAAATGGGTAATGGGTGTCAGGAAAAAATACAAATACAATTTTCTTATAGTTATTGTATACCATCCTTATATAGCTTATTGCACTATATTTTTTCCATTATAATTAAATTGTCTTAAAATGTGCGAATAATTACACGAAATTAATTGTTATGATCACATTTGTTATATTAAATGGATTGAAAAGTGTAAAAATTATAACCATAATAATGAGTGAAAAAAAATATTTAAAATTAAAATAAAATTTTTTCGAAATCTAAAATAAAATATTTCAAAATTGAAAAAAGCTTATTACTATTAGGAACTCAATTCAACTACTAACTAAGTTTGAAAATTGTATAAGTACTTACGAGCTGGAATATTCAGTAGACTGCCTCCTTTGATGTTTGCCCCACTGAAAGTAATGAACATAGCACAAATAGTCACTACTATTATCGAATTCATTTTGGAGTTGCTTTTTCCAACAGCAGGCCAATTGACAAGACGACGAAGAAAATAATGTAAGTTAAACAAACTGTTGTAACAAAGTTAAAATATCTGAACACGGAATGGCGGAGAAAAAAATACAGGACGGTAAGTGAACCGAAAAAGTAGTAGTTAGCTCCACGGATCGCACAATGGTTACGAAAGACGCTTTGTTGGCCCTTTTATAGGTGGATTCATCGGCAGTGGTGGTGGTAGTGGTGATAGTGGTGGTAGTCCTATATCATCCCATGGATATAGTTACAGTATAATAAGGCTTGCAACGACCAGTACTAACGTCCACCCTCCACCTTTCAATATAATATTAATATAACGTTTATGCGTATATCTACTATTCAGCAAAAATATATAAAAAAAAAGTGGGTCACTGTATAGTGGATGGTATTAAATTTGAATTCAATGATATAATATTATTGTATAAGAAAAACGATTCTGAGCAAAGACGGTATGTCAGTCTAGGTTTAAGATATATTATATACATATCTATGGTATTAAAAAAAATTGACCTATAATAGGTACCTACCTAAATATAATAAATTCCAAATTAATCATATCACAATATCCATTAGGTACTTATAATGCGCATACATCAACAAAAAACCCTGATACTATCATAGATATATTATAGTACACTTTAGAAGTTTCAAGTACCCACGAACAATATTATACACTCACAACAAAATAACTAAAATAGTTATTCTAGGTTTTTTATTATGTAATTTCGTCCAAATTTGAACTTAAAATGACTATAAAAATAAAATTTTCCTATGTATTTTTTAGATTTGTTGGTAACAGAATTAACTACTTACGTGGAATCTTGTTTTAAATTTTCAATCCTTAGATATACAAATTGAACAATTCTATTAACCTTCTATTAAATTTTCAAGCTTTTTTAACCAACAAATAAAATTGTATTGATATATTTAAAAAAGAAACTAAAAGAAAATGGGATCTGAAAATGTCCGTAAAGAGCTCAATATAAGTCAAAATAATTGAAAAATGTTATGGTGTATAGAAAATGCTAATATAAACATTCAGTCAAAATTTCATGTACCTACGGTCATTTGTTTAAGAGTTGCACCAAAATCCAAAATCGATTTTCTCGAAAACAGATTTTTTGTATAAATTCCCCTTTTTCCTTAATTTTTCTTTTGTTTTTCACGGCGTTTTTGAATACTTTTTTTGAACCCCTAAAGTACCAACTAGATTCACTTTCCTATCAGAAAAGATACTGTTGAAGAAAATCCAAGCACTTTTACTGTCCTAAAACGTGATGACAGGCACTAAAAAAAAAATTAAAATTAAAAAAAAAACACACATCGTTGTAAAATCAGTACATTTATCGTTCCACTCAGAAACTACAATTTTCTTTTAATTCATATACAGATGAATGTCTAGCTTCCAATCTTGTATTACACAGTTTTTTCGATATTTATTTTTGTATTTGATTTGCTATATATCATTACCAAATCCTTCAGGGCCCTCTAAATTCTCTACTGGGGGTGCAATGCACACCCTGCACACCCTGTAGTAAAGGAATTGTGTACCAGGCACGTCATCGAGGGGGGCCTCAGGGGGCCTGGCCCCCTAAGAAAAGTCAGTGGCCCCGAACTGGCCTCTTAATTTTAATTTTTAAATATTATGGTGTTTAATTATCCCAAAGCGGCTAATTCCTGAATGTATATTATATGGTACTCCATATAGTTAACCATCGTATAACAAAAATTAAATTTCGAGATTCTATTTTATAAAATAAATTAGTCACTCGACAATTTGAAGTAATAGACAATAATACGCATATTAATAGATTGAAAACTAGCAATTAAAAATACGGGTATCGAACTCACATTTGATAAACACAACTACAGACAATATACTATATAATAGTGAACCAATGACATAAAATAAACAATCCTAACAAAATAATAATAGGTTTATCCCAATATAATATTATTCTCTATCGAGTTTGAGTATTGATCAAGCAGCGTGCTAAAGTCGCAGTACCTATATTATATTATGTATGTATACTGTTCATATTGTTCACAAGGCACAAGTGTAAGAACCAATAAATAACGAATAGAGCTTTAATAAGTTATTTTAATAACTCAAAAAACTTAAGAGCCGAGAAACTGAGAAATGTAAGTACAATAATTATACATACTTTCGATAAATATTATCTACCCAAGTCTTATTTACCTACTTACATTTTATATTTACTAATTATTGTAGTTAATTCTTTATAAGTTAATATGTAATATGTTAATGTATAATTTTTTATATTTTAACATTAGATAGGTACCTAGTAAGTTACATATTAATCTGTATTAATTAATAGATGAATATTATTTAGATATTAGGTACTACATATTGTAAATTTTTAAGACATTTTATACTATAATATTATTGATAAAGTTAAGTACCTATTTTATTTATTTTTATTATTTAAATGATAATTATTTAATATTGTTTTAGTGCATTATAATTTGCACACTATTAATCTCAACACTATCTGTATAAAGTATAATAATATAGTATATTATATTATATCGGAGGTATTAATGTATGTATTTCTGGACTTTCGGTATTTGCTGATTACATTATTTTCATAAATTGTTTTAATTAATTAATGATTTTATTCATGACATTTGATTTACCTATTGATAATATTATAAATAATTTTTCATACTAATAAGTAGGTACCTACCTATTTATTATATTTGTATTATTGTATATTAATGTATAATAAAAATATAATGCTTAACCAATACAGACAATATATTGTGAAATTTAGTATTATTTTTTATGGTTATTGTCTGATAAGGAAATTAGTGGTATTGGGTATAAAAAACAGAAAGGGGCCAAAAAATGTTACCTATTATAGGTACGAGACTATAGTGCTCGGATTTAAATGCTCTGAAAACAATTAAAAATTCTCTAAATAATAGCCTTTTAAATCCAATAATGCCCTTACAAATTACCCAAACTTTTTTGATAGACACTCAAGTGAGAGTTTAACGACAGTTTAACTTTCGGAAATTGTAACACTTCTTTATCTTAACCTGTCACCACTCGCACGGGGTACACACATTCACCCTCAGACAAATTTTAAATATGCACGTATACAACTATAATAACCTTATAATAGTATTGTTATTCTATATCTTTCAGTGTCTATTCTAATAACATATTATAATATTATATAGTACACATTGAAGTTATTTTAATCTCTTTTTTTTTTAATTTTCCGGTAAACTGTTGATATACTTATGATTGAAATTTGGTACGGATATAATATACCTAAAATCGATTTAAACTATATTTCTTGATATAATATTTTTAATTTACAAATTTACACTAGAATAAGATATTGATATCCACTGAAATTAATAAAACTACACAAAAATGTTAAAAAAAAAATGTAAAATAAAAGAGCTGGTGCTGGAGCTGCTGGTGCTGTTGCTGTTGAAGCAACAAGTGTGGGAGATCGTGTTGCTGTTGCTGTTGTTGCTGGTGATGGTGGTGGTGTAGCTGATTGATAAGGCCAACGCGGCGGCAGTTGGCAGTGATGGCCTGCCATGTGGTTCGAATGCTGAGGCGGCGGCGACGGCATCGTTAGGTTAGGTTAGGCATCGCGTTTTAGATGATGCTGCTGGTGGTGGTGTGGGTGGTGCGGATGGTGTGGGTGTGGGTTGCACGATGCACGGACTCGGAGATCCAGTGCGGGTGGGCTACCTGTTGCTGCATGACAGGCGGCGGCTGTACGACGGTCGGGGAGAACAGGTCGCTAACGGGGGCAGACGAGTCGAGGCGGTGGTGCGGGGGACGGCGGTGGCTGTCGGTTCAGCACGGCGGCGGCTGCGGCTGTCCAGCTGGCTGATTGCTCTGCCCGGCCACTGCTCGCACCACGACCCGAACTCGTTATTGCGGCGATGGGCACAATATGATCCAAAATAATATTCTACTTTATAGTTATTTTCCAAGAGAGTGTAGTGTGGGGCAGGAGATGCCCATAATCTTAGTATAATATATTACCTATATAATATTTGTGTACAATACTTACATTATGTTATTATATGTAGGTAGGTCGTGTAAATTCCAAAGCCGACAGCGGTCGTTCGTTTATTTGTTCCTATAACACACACACACACACACACACACACACACACACACACACATACGCAAGGGGTTCCTAACCTATTTTACTTGACGGCGCATTTTATCTTCGAATACCATTCGCAGGCACAAAGAAATAAATCCATATTATTTTTCGACGGTCAATAATGTAGCTGGTCTCTTTTCACTCGAATCCGTGAATTTAACATCACGTGATTTCTGTTATTAAATCAAGCCTTTATTATTACATGTGGAATTTTATTTTCATATACATATACATTTAGTATCTTCCAATGGTCGTCTAGTTTCTACCTAGCGGTGATCGGTGATAAATTATTTATGTTGAACCAGAATCTCCACACAAAACTAATATTTTAGAATGCTGTTTTTCCGACAGTTATCTATTATAAAATGTATTTAAATTTTACGTACATTTGAAAAATTTCAAAAAATATTCAAATCGAACAATGTGAAAACTTAATTTCATAAATGTTGTAATATCGGAAAAATAGATAAAAAATAAAACCGTGTTTTTTTTAATTAATTAATTTATTGATATAAAAAATCACAATTTTAGCACAGGTACATAATTTAGTCATATATAATAGGTACATCAGTGAGAAAGAATATAATATTATGATAAATAATGTATTTCCTATTTAATATAGGTAATATGTTGTAGTTTAATGAATCCCAACAGATAAATAAATATCCAAGTGTATGAGTGTATAATATATATATGTAGTATTAGATATGTCGCATCCACTTGGTGTAATCCTATTTTTCATAAATAGATATGCATTTCATGAAGTATGATCATAATATTATATTGTGTAAGTCAAATTTAA